TAAGAGCCCCCTGGACCACCAGCCCCAGCAACAGCACTAGAGGAAGAGAGAGGCCCTCAGCTGCTGGAAGTCCTTACCCCAACTCTAATCCCCCTACACACTGAGAAGCTCTCATCCTCAGTTTTCATCCAGACCCCCTGGAGAAGGGGAGGAGCTTAGAGAGCCCAGTCTTGTCTTGTACCATCAATAAAGTACACTATCCAGCTAAAAAAAAAAAAGACAATGGAACTTTTACACAAACTTTCTGAAGCCCCCTCATACTTGGGAAGAAATAAGCTACCCACAGCTGGTCACAAATTGGAGAAGAAGCAACATCACAGGATATCAGTAACTCATTGGTAGTTCCCTTACATTAGTTAGGGAACGCTAATAGAAATGGATTTTGAATAACATGTTATTCAGTCAGTTAAAAGGTATAGTTTCCAGTCCTGGCTAGCGACAACAGCTCCGACTGTCAGCGCCGGCCCTACCTCGTGTAAAGGTATCTGCCAGACCATTCTTAATTCAATTTATTTCCCAATCCGTGCCCTTTCCTATCGTCGCCCCCTTCACCTTGGATCATGTTCGAGAAATTTGATGAAAAGGAAAATGTGTCCAACTGCATTCAGTTGAAAACCTCAGTTATTAAGGGTATTAAGAACCAGTTGATAGAGCAATTTCCAGGTATTGAACCATGGCTTAATCAAATCATGCCTAAGAAAGATCCTGTTAAAATTGTACGATGCCATGAACATTTAGAAATTCTTACAGTAAATGGAGAGTTACTATTTTTTAGGCAGAGAGAAGGCCCTTTTTATCCAACCCTAAGATTACTTCACAAATATCCTTTCATCCTGCCACACCAGCAGGTTGATAAAGGAGCCATCGAATGTATACTCAGTGGAGTAAAGATCATGTGTACAGGATTAACTTCTCCTGGAGCTAAACTTTACCCTGCTGCAGTAGATACAATTGTTGCAATAATGGCAGAAGGAAAACAGCATGCTCTGTGTGTCCGAGTCATGAAGATGTCTGCAGACGATATTGAGAAAGTCAACAAAGGAACTGGCATTGAAAATATCCATTATTTAAATGATGGGCTGTGGCATATGAAAACTTATAAATGAGACTCAGAAGGAATGCACTTGTGAAGAACATGGATATTATGCTGTAATTCTGTGTTTTTGTCTGTGGATGACAGCAGGAAGACAATGTCTCTGGTTATGCTGAATAAATTCAACAGATACAGAAAAAAAAAGACAAGTATAGTTTCCTATGAAGCTCAGGTTTAAATAGATTAGGCAGGTCTGAAATTCTTCTAACAGGTATTTTTGAGATATGACTCTTTTCTGTTGTTGTATAATAGGGGAACCGTCAGCGTTAACAAACAGTTGGACTGGTGGCACAGTTGACTATCCCTGAAGAAGCTCCTAAGGACATCGTCTGAATAGAAAGCCTTCCTACCTCCTCCAGGTAGAAGCCCAGATTTTTCTTAGAAATCATTCAGTTGGAGTTTAGATGCAGGTTAGTACTTCCCACCCTTGTTCTTTCCCAAAACAATATCCCCATTTCACCTTCTTTTATCAGATTCTACTGCTTGTATTATGTATATGTATGTGTATATGTATGTGTATGTGTATGTGTATATGTATGTGTATTGTATATGTATATATAGGGAGTCCTGATGTGGCACTGTGGGTCAATGCGCTGAACTGCAAAGTTGGTAAGATCCACAAAGTTGGCGGTTCAAGCTCACCAGCTGCTCCTTGGAAACCCTATGTTGTTGTTGTGTTGTTAGGTGCCATCAAGTTGGTACCGACTCATAGCAACTTTATACACAGCAGAACGAAACACTGCCCGATTCTGGGCCAACCTCACTACTGTTGCCATGCTCTGGACAGTGAACAAGGAAGACCGTAGAAGAATCGATGCTTTTGAGTTATGTTGTTGGAGAATACTGAAATTGCCATGGGCTGCCAAAAGAATGTACAGATTCGTTTTGGAAGAAGTGCAGCCAGAGTGCTCCTTGGAGGCCAAATTGGCCAAACTTTGTCTCTCATAATTCGGACGTATTGTCAGGAGGGACCAGTTGCTGGAGAAGGATATCATGTTTGGTAAGGTGGAGGGTCAGAGAAAAAGAGGAAGACCCTCAACGAGATGGATTGGCCAAGTGATAGCATCGATGGAAACCCTATACAGGGTCGCTATGGGTCAGAACCAACTCAAAAACACTTAACAACAACAAAAACAACAACATATATATATTCATATATATACAGAGAGAGAGAGAGTCCCAGTGTGGCACTGTAGGATAAGGCAATGGATCTCCAAGTTGATTGGAACTGTTGGAACTGCAAGGTCAAGTGGTTCAAACTCACCAGCCACTCCTCAGAAACTCTACACTGGGTCACTATGATTCGGAACCGACTCAACAGCACTTAACAATTGCCACAACAAACATATATGTATATATATATAGAGAGAGAGAGAAACAGGCTCTTTATAGACAGTGAACAAAAGAATAGTTATATAACATTTTGTTTTGTTTTTTCTAAGAGGCCAAACACTATCTGGATGACACAAAAAAGGCTCATGACTAAAAATTATTAAAACAAATAAAAATTTCAAACAGCAATGATATAGAACTAAAATGTTTTAAATACCACTTTTTAAAAAGCAAAGATACAGAGAAGATAAAATAATACAATATTATGATTTTAATATTATATATAACGTGAAAAAGAAAGGAATGATTTCACAATTGTTTTCTACCAACAAATAAAGCTTCAATACACTGTGGTATGGGTGGCTTTCCAATCCAATAATAATACATATGTCATTTTTCTGGCAAATAATTTATAAAAATTAAAATGTAAAATATTTCTACTAGATCTATCCTATGAAACCTAATTTTGGAACAAATGAAAACAAATAAATCGATGCCTTTTAATTTTTTTCTATGAATTCTAGCAAGCATGATAGAATCAACTGAAAACTACACCTCACTATAGAAATAAAAACTCTATTCTATTAACCTGCTACTTAAATAGTACTTAATAAGAAAAACTACCTTTAAAATTAGGACAATTCACTCAAGTTTTATACAGTACATAAGCAAAAAGGAAGGGCATTTTTTTACTCATTTCTGGAAAGCTTTGCTCCAAAATGCATAGTCATAAACTACTTACCTTGTCCATTTCCACTGTTGTCAACATCAGCCAAACACAAACAGCCTTGATCAAATTCTTCTTTTTCTCCCAGAACAGTAGACCACCAATCACGGGCTTTAAATAAAGACATTTTCTTTCACTCTAAAAATAAAGTATGTATTTATAATTAAAATCTGTTTCATACCATTAATTAATTCTCTCTTTATTGCTGTTGTTAAGTGCCGTTGAGTTGGTTCCAACTCATAGCAACCCTGTATAAATTTTCCAAGAAGCAGCTGGTAAGCTTGAACTGCCAACCTTGAAGTTCAAATTGACCTTGCAGTCCAGCTCATTAACCCACAGCACCACACCAGGAGTCCAATTCTCTCTTAGGCACAGCAAATAAACTTGGATATCTTTGAGAAGAGCCAATCTATATTAACTTTAAATATTTGGATTTTGTGGCTATATGTGAAACTACAAATCCAAATGGTTGAAAACATTTATCAGATATTTATAAATGCCACTGACAAACCAGGCTGAAAAATTGTACTTTTAGACTGGGCTAATTCTCTCTTCTGGGACATTTAGGGGATGACTGCATTAACACACATACAAACACACTTTTATATACACAAACATACTCCTTTAAGGATCAAGATTCAAACTCTACCAGTAATATTTAGTACATACATCCTTAGCAGACCACCTAACTTCCCTTCAGTTTTGTCATTGGACAGAATGCAGCATCTCTTCCTGTCTCAGTGAGTTACCTAGAAGAGCAAATAGGATCGTATGTGTCAAATGCACATCAAAGCATCCAAGTATTCACTGTCTCTTCCTGTTCTAAACTGCAGAAAGGCAAGGTGGACGAGGAACAGCCACACTGAAAAGAACCAAAAGAACTGGATTACAGGTCCATTTATGCCACTTGTTGTTGTTGTTAAGTGCCATCAAGTCGGTTCCGACCCATAGTAACCCTGCACAGGGTTTCTGAGGCTGTAAATCTTTACAGGAGCAGAACGCATCATCTTTCTCCCACGGAACCGCTGGTAGTTTTGAACTGCCGACCTTGAGTTTAGCAGCGTGATTCATAACCACCACGCTACCAGAGGTCCTTATTTATGCCACTAGCGACTTCTATATGTCCTTTCTGTGCTTTGACTCCTCACCCAGAATGAGGATATACCAGTCCTGGTGTGGCACTGTGAGTTAATGCACTGGGCTGCAAAGTAGGTTTGAACCACAAGGTTGGCAGTTCAAACTCACCAGCTACTCCTCGGAAACCCTATATAGGGTCGCTGTGGGTCGGAACCAACTCGACAGCACTTAACAACAACATGGCATATAGAAACAACCACCACTGCATGCTGTCCTCCAGGGGGTGCCATACGCATGGTTGTTGTAGTTAAGTGCCGCCAGTCAATTCCACCTCATAGCAACCCTGTATAGGGCATCCTGGTGTGGTGCTGTGGGTTAATGCACTGGCCTGCAAAGTCAACTTGAACCTCCAGGTCGGTGACTCAAACTCACCAGCTGTTCCTCGGAAACCCTATACAGGGTCACAGTGGTTCATAACTGACTCAATGGCACTTAACAACAACAACAAAAATCTTCCATTAAAGGAGTCTTGGTGGCGTGAAAGTCCTTGAGGCCCACTGATGAAGTACTTGGTTGCTAACCAGACACATCAGTACTTTGAACATACCACCTGCTCAGTGGGAGAAAGATGGAGCACTCTACTTCCATTAAGCAGCCTTGGAAACTCTATAACGCAGTTCTACCCTGCTCTACGAGTCCTGGTATGGTGTTGCAGGATAAGCAATGGACTGTTAACCATGAGGTCAGTGGTTCAAACCCACCAGTTGCTCCTTGGGAACCCTATGCAGTATCATTGTGTGTCAGAACTGACTCAACAGCACTTAACAAACCCTGTCCTATAGTGTCACTATGAGTGGAAACCAACACACTCAATGGCATTGGGTTTAGTATCTTCCGCTGAGCTACATATATGGAACATGAGAAAGTTCATTAGATGTTTGAAGTAACAATATAAGTATCACACATGTGAGATCCTAAAAAAGTTCAGTAATCTAACAAATGAGGTTTTCCTTCAGGCTACACAAATTTAAATGGTCTTTTTTTAATGCAGATCCACCTGTTTCTTAACAGCAGGCCTTCAGCATGGGCTAAGCTAGCATAAACAGCAGGCCACTTGCTTTCATACAAAGTTGGCCATGAAATTAGCAGTGAGTAATGGAGTCCTGGTGCTCTGGTAGCGTAGTGGTTGTGAATCTGGTTGCAAACCTTAAGGTCAGCAGATCGAAACTACCAGCTGTTCCGTGGGAGAAAGATGAGGCTTTCTGCTCCCATAAAGATTTACAGCCTCAGAAACCCTGCACAGGGTCACTATGAGTCAGAACTGACTCCACAGCACGTAACAACAACAATGGAGTCCTGGGTGTGGTGCTGTTGGCTAATGTGTCAGACTACAAAGTCATGTGAACTGCAAGGTCAGTGGTTCAAGCTCACCAACTGCTCCTTGGAAACTATATATAGGGTCGCTATGGATCAGAAACAACTCAACGGCACTTCACAACAACAACCTTGCAGTGCAGTGCTTTATCCCACAGCACCACACCAGGACTCATAGCAACCCTGTATACAGGTTTCCGAGGAGCGGCTGGTGAACTTGAACAAGGTAGGTTGTTCAAACTCACCAGCCTTGGAAACCATGACGGCACTTAACAACAATGTAGTACTGAGACGCTCAGGCTGGACTACCCCAAAACTACTGCCCTCAGGAAATCTTTAAACCTTAAACAGAAACTATCCCCTGAATTCATCTTTAAACCAAGCAATAGTTTAGCTTAGTTAAAAAAAGATTGTCTGCTTTGACTACTGTGTTAGTTTAAAGAATTGTTTATAAGAGATCAGACAACTCAAAAGTTTTGAAGAGAAGTTAGGAGGCAGTGTGTTGTGGTGATTCAAAACAATTGAGAAATAGGTATCGGGAAAGGTGGCACAACTTGAAGACTATAACCAATGTTTATGAATTGTAAAGAGGCCTTCAAAGAGTTCACAGAAAAACGGATTTCAGAGATATAATGAAATGTTTCTATCTTTTTGAAACCCTTTCTACATGCAGAAATCATTGAATTGATAGATGTTTTGCTGTGTATACTTTAAAATCCAAAAAAAGAAAAGTAAAGAAAAATACAGGCTCTGGAAGGAGCTGTTTGCATTCCTGCTCTATACCATATAGTAAACACAAAGTCAGCAGCAAATTACTAAAACTCACTAAACCTGTCTATGTATGTCATCCATAAAACAGAAATAAGGGAAATGTAAGGATTAAATGTAAGTCCAGGTGGCATCATTGATGGCATCGAGTGTAGCGGCAGTAGTGAGGTTGGCCCGGGATCGGACATTGTTTCGTTCTGCTGTGCATGGGGTCGCTATGAGTCGGTTCTGACTCGATGGCACTTGACAAGGATTAAATAAGAATGCAGTAGCACTTAAGGAGCTCTGGTAGAGTAGTGGTTACGAATTGGGCTGCGAACCACAAGGTCAGCAGTTTGAAACTACCAGCTGTTCTGTGGGAGAAAGATAAGGCTTCTGCTCCCGTAAAGATTTACAGCCTCGGAAACCCTGTACAGGGTCGCTATGAGTCGGAACTGACTCCATGGCACATAACAACAACAAAGAGCACTTACTGCAATTGTTGTTGTTGCTAAGTGTTCCTGTTTATAGCAACCCTGTATACAGTTTCCGAGGAGCGGCTGGTGAACTTGAACGGCCAACCTTACGGTTCAAACCACCATGCAGTCCAGCTCATTAACCCATAGCGCCATACCAGGACTCCGACTTACTACAATGCCTGGCACTTAATAAGGAGTCCTGGTGTGGCGCTGTAGGTTAATGTGCCAGCTTGCAAAGCCATTTGAACTGCAAGGTCGGCAGTTCAAGCTCACCAGCTGCTCCTTGGAAACCCTATACAGGGTCGCTATGAATCGGAAATCAACTCAATGGCACTTAACAACAATAAGTGTTAGTCATTGTTATCACTGTGGTTTCTTTTTATGATTTTTTTTTTTCTAATCTACCTATGTCCTTCAATATGCGATGGTTAAACAAATTGTGGTGAGTTCATACCAGGGAATACAAATCAGCAATTAGAAAAAAAAAGTATTGACACAACCTGATGACTCTCAAGGGCACTGTGATGAGTGAAAACAAAAAATCCAATCCCCAAAAGTCATATATTACATCAATCCACTATTAAAACATTCTCAAAAGGATAAAATTATGCTAATGGAGAACAGAATGGTGATTGCCAGGGGTTAGGTATAGTAAATAGGTTGTTGTTGTTAAGTGTCGTTGAGTCAGTTCTGACTCATAGTGACCCTTATTGGGTTTCTGAGGAGCGGCTGGTGAGTTTGAACTGCCGACCTTGCGATTCAAACCAACCTGCGGTGTAGCTCATTATCCAGCAGTGCCACACCAGGACTCCAGTAAATGGGTAGTACAAGGAAATTTCTTTGGAACAGCTCTGTAATTCTGGTGGTGGTTTCCAGCGACTAAATTTAATTCCTTAGAACTATAAACAAACAAAAAAGAGTATAAGTAATGTAAAAAATCTGGTGAAATCCAAATAGCTTCTGTAGTTTAGTTGCATCGTTGTTAAACTGTCATCAAGTCAGTTTCAACACATAACGACCTTGTATAGGGTTTTCAAGGAGCAGCTGGTGGGTTTGAACCGACAATCTTGTGGTTCACAATCTAGTACTTACCCTACAACATCACAACAGTAGTTTAATTATGTTGTTGATGTTGTTGTTGTTAAGTGCCGCGGAGTTCCAATCCATAGTGATGCTGTATAGGGTTTCCACGGAGCAGCTGGTGAGTTTGAACCGCCGACCTTGAGGTTCAAACCAACTTTGTGATCCTGCGCATTAACCTCAGCACCATACCAGGACTCCAGTTTAGTTATAGTACTGTACTTATGAGAATTTAGGGGTCCTAGTGGTTACAAACTGGGCTAACAGCAAGATCAGCAGTTTGAATCTATCAGTCAGTCACTCCAGGGGAGAAATATGAGGTTTTCTATTCCCATAAAGATTTACAGGCTCAGAAACCCTGTGCAGCGTC